ATGAAGATTTGGGTTATTTCCCTCTGATATTAGCTGCCAGTTGAATGCAGCAAGGTAAAGGTAGTGAGGACTGTAGCAAAAAAAAAAAAAGACATTGAATGCTTCAGCTTTTATGGCATCATCTGTCAATAGCTTTTCTACTCCGCTGAGCAGTAGAGCAACATTTTGCCTGGTTTTTTTCTTATTACAAATGGACTCGTAGAACCTTTTCTTGCTACCTTTGCTAGCTCTAAGTCATTTTTTTTACTTTAGTCTCCATTTGTTTCTCAGCATTTGTTATTCTTTTATACTCACGTGGTAGCCTGACTATGTGCATGTGTCCTTGAATTTGAGATCACTGAGCTGCGTATGACATAGCCAGGTTCGTTCCTATTTTTTCTGCATTGGGGTATTTTTCACTTGCATCATTTCTCTAAGGCAATGTTTGCTCCCCATACCTTCTTTTCTCCTTTCACTTGCAGCTGTTGGTCCTTTTGTACTGTCAAGCCTCAGAGATCTGTAAGTGTCCTTCCTTTAAAATCCTTTGTCTGTATTATGTTGTTTTCCCATTTTCCTCCTGAAGAACCATGAACTGTTGTTTAATTGCCACCTTCATGCAAGCTGTCTTTGCCTTCCTTATCCTAGGGGGCTTCTCAGTGCTTGAGCATCCCATACCCAAACCGGCGTCTTCGCTACTGTCATCACCAACACACTCCAAGGATGTTGGACATACGTATTTCCTATAACATACTCGTAATATTCCATTACATCTTGTCCTCTGGTTCATTATTCCAGTTCCTGGTTAAAAGAAAACCCAACCTGTCTTTGTTGTTTGGCACCTGATGGACCTGCAGTACGGTAGTGCCCTCTGCTTCACTTCGTTACGTGATGACTTTCAGCAGGTCTGTCTCCCTTTTGCAGATTGGACCTAGAAGAACAACTACTCTCTTTATTTATTTCCATTGCCTTCTTTCTCAGTAAGTTTTGTCATCCGTATTAACAGTCTTGTGAATTATTTACCAAGCCTCTCTTATCACCCAATTATATTATAGTTTTGATACTGCACTAATTTCCTTCCAGCTCCTTCTGTGTCCTCCACAGTCCTTGTAGAGATGTCTAATAGGGTCCACAGATCAATCCCACTTTGCTCTTCATTATGTTTGTTTACTTCCCGTGAGGTTATCGTGGCCAACACTGTGTTTACACCCTTGTTCACCTGTTTGTACCCACCTCAGGCTTTTATTTGTCAAACTCACTTGATCCTACTTAAAAACTTCTTTCCCTGAGGTAAACCAGGAGGTGAATAAAGTTGAAATTCCTCTTTTTCATAAGGTGATCTCTGTTCTTGCCCGGCACCTCACGGTGTATCATCTCTGAAGAAGGAAACTTCTTGTAGTAACCCATGTATCTTTGAAGGGGAGGGGAACATGCGTGGAAAGGAGAGGCAGCAAGATGCCATGGAGGCATCTTGATGGTTTTTTAAATCCTTCATTGGTGTGCTTGCTAACAGCAGCAATACCACACTCGAAAATGGATCCGGTATTTTCCCGTCATCTCTGGATGTTTGCAGTAGCTGGGCAGGCAGAATGAATTATCTCAAGAATATTAAGATCATAAATTTGTGGTTTCCCTCCTCTCCCTGTAAATCATGGGAGTCGGTGCGGAGTGTGGGTCTGAGGCAATAAAGTCTCCATCTTCCATTTTTTAAACTGGAAATCTGTGTTTATAAATAATGGCTGTTCCAGCTAATTAGATCTTTCAGTTGCTTTATGTGCCAGTGTGCTGATCTTGCCATAGCTCTTGTTCGCCGTCCTCGTTTTTCACGGGGTCGTGGAGCTGCTTAACGCTTGCTGTCTTAATTAACACATTTTGTCATACAGTACTCGGGTCACTTCTTGCATGTTTACACGTGTGCCTGTGGAGGTGTATCTTCTCTGCGTGCAAGGATTTGCCTGGAGAGCTGTGTAATTCAGGAGCTGGCGCTAATGCTCTGCCGTCCTGCTCCTCCTCCCCAACCCCACCGTGGGGCCAACAGCAGGCGGATTCCCAGGGCGTCACCGCTTGGAGAGGGTTTTCCACTGCCCGGTGTTCATCTGATGCTAACACAACTTAGTGAGACCTGCTTGAGCGTTTCAAGTGCCAGAAATACGCAAGGTCACTGTGTTTGCTTTGGTGAAAACCTGAATTTTAAAAGCTATGGGATGTGTTGAGCTCTGGCAGCCTGCAGAAGGTGACTTAGATATCAGGAGGAAATTCTCCCCTGTGCGGTGGTGAGCCCCTGGGGCAGGTTGCCCCGAGAGGCTGTGGCTGCCCCATCCCTGGAGGTGTTCAAGGCCAGGTTGGACGGGGCTTGGAGCAACCTGGGCTGGGGGGAGGTGGCCCTGCCCAGGGCAGGGGGGTGGAACGAGATGGTCTTCAACGTCCCTTCCAACCCAAACCATTCTGTGATTCTTTGATACCAAGCATGTGCATAAACACATGCACTCACACCCTCACGCTTTTTCTTTTTTAATATTCCAGGTACTGGAAGTGACTTTTAAAAACCAAGATAAAATTACTTTTGTAGTGAATAGAATATGGTACTATTAGTCTCACCGCTGCAGTGCAGCTAGGGATGTAATTACTCAGATGTGGCTGATCACCTTTCTTGCTAGAAAAGGAGAGGAGTTTGTATCGGTTCCGTCGTTGCTTTACGGTTTAAATCTTTAATGACATCGAGACGTAATGTGAAAGGCAGTGGACTAAGCAAGAGCGTTGGGTTTTGCTTCTCACCAAGGGGGGGAAAAAACCCACTTGTGAGATCATTCTTGAAATCGGTGTAATCCTCAGCTCGATGCCTGTGGAGAAACTTGGCGATTGGGCTGCGCGTGGCGGGCGACGGCTGTCCCTCGCGCCGACCACGGCCGGGGCTCCCAACGGGTTTCCAGCCTCTTGGCTTTAACTTGGGCTACAAGATCTTTGGGACAGGATGGGCATTTTTTCTTGCACGTTTACAGCCAGTAATACACAAATATTCTCTTGGCTGGCATGAGACGTATTTCAGAAAATGAATATGTATAAATTCTTCTTTTGTTTTCTGATCTTTAGAATTGCTGTGTTAGGGAGAGCACAAAATCCCCCCCTCCCTTCGGAGTAAAACCTCTTCTCAAAGGAAACATTAAACACAAATGCCTGAACTTGGACTAAAATGATTAGTGTACAGTGTATCTTTTGGCCTTCCCTTGGAAGAAAACCATTATTAAAATGTAACATTAAATATGCTGTACTTATATGGAGAGTTGGTTTAGTTTTCCTAGAATAATTTCATTCGTCTCACATGGCTTAGCTTGCAGAAAAATTGAACACAACTTCAGTGATATTTTAAGGTTGCAATTTAATACGCAATTGACTTTGGAAAACTAAATATAAACCCAGGAAGAGCCTGTTGCTGAGTAGAGGTAACTTCTGGTCAGTTCCAGGCCTGAAATAATACAACCTTGTTATAATTTATTTTTCTCTTTTGTCTTGATGTTGGCAGGAAAGCCGGAGCGCTGGGCAGCAGCCTTTGCTACATCTTCCTTTTCCCGTTATGTTTATATCAGAGATGGAAAGCCAAAAAATAAACCCCCAAACCCATGCCAGAAAGAGGGTCTTTCTATTCCCTCCTGCAGCGGGAGTGTAATACTCACCAGAGGGGGATGCTAATGCTTAAAAACCAGAAGCTGGTTTTTGTTTGGATCCCACCGAGGAGTCTGAGCCCAAGCCCCCGAGGGAGAGAGCCGTTCCCGTGGTGGCAGGGATCCTGGGCGACCCGCACCTCTCCAGGGGCAGATGCTCTTACTGGTTACTGCCATTGACGTTTTTGCGCAAGGCTCCGTAACGTCGGTACAACCATGCCACCTTGTGTTAATTTCTGTCTCCTTATGGCCTGGAGCAGTCAGGGAAAAAACTTTAAAAGAATTTTCTGTGTGTGGATGCATGTATGCATGTCATTTTTTAACACTGTTAAAGGTTTGTTTCTGTCTCCCTGTCTGAGCCTGGCTGTGTGTCAATTGCAGGTGAAGCGATTCCACTCTGTCGCTTCGTACTTTAAAATTTAGAATAAAGAAAATATATTTCATAGTTCTAGTTTCAAAATATGTTAACGATGAAGAAGTTGAGCTATTGTGGTACGTGTCCAGTCCAGCATGGGTAACTCTTTCTGCACTGCCATAAACTCCGCACTGAAGAGCGGGTTATGCCTCAGCTCAGGAATTTGGTCCATTATATCCCCAACTCCCTGGAAGTTTTGGGCAGGCAGGGGTCGTTTTGGCAGAGAAACAACCTATGGATTTTGCACCATGGAGTTAGTAGCATTAAGAGTGTTTCATTGTGAGGAGTTACATTTGAGAATGCTTTACATTTAGAAAAAAAAAAATGCTATGGATATGCATAAAGCTTTTCAAAAGAAAATGTATTAATTAAACCTTTGCCTCTTTTCTACATAGTCCGCAGCAGAATATGTGAAGTCCCGTCTGCCTGAAGTCCTAAAACAACATCTTCAAGACTATGAGAAGGACAAGGAGAATAGCGTGCTGTCTTACCAAACCATCCTGGAACAGCAGATCTTATCGATTGATCGAGAAATGCTGGAAAAATTGACTGTATCCTATGATGAAGCAGGTATATTTGTGTTTCTTTCTAAGTTACATTTTACTGACAAAAAAATTGCTCACTTTCAGTCTTCCTCCCGAACACTAGTGCTTGTGCTGGCAGATTGAACTTGGTCCTCAAAGGTATGAGGTGACTCAGTGAAACACTTCTTTCTCCTAAAATCAAGTTGAGGTAGACAATTTTCCACTTCGGTGATTGAATACTAACTAGCTGAAAGGACAGTTATTTTTCTAACAGCACTTTGTCCTTGGTAATGCACTGATGTTGATTGATCTAGCTGTGCCTCTTTATCGTCTCTGCCAGTGGTGCGACCTGGTTTCTGCTGGTTTCTCCTTCACTGCTAACTTATTGTGGGAGCTCACTTAGCTAAGAGTGTACTGGATAGTCACAGAATCTGCTTTTTAAATGTGACGTGATACATGTGGGTAGTCAAAACCAGATAATTTGTCGTGTTGGAGTAATTTTAATGGTGCAAATACAGGGGTCTTCAGTTTTGATATTTATGTCTCAATAATTTGGAGGTTTTCTTAGTTAGAGCTAATACTTTTTACTAGCATTTTGTTTTAGAAATGTCTTCCAGCTTTTGGGTGCTTCACAGAGTTGTCCTCATGCATGGCGGTCTTTACAATTACAGAGAAAAAAAGAGAAGCTGTGGATGTTTTTTGCTGATCGTCCAAAATAGCCACCAATATCTGCTATTTGCCCCCCCTCAATCTTACCAAGTTTCTCGGTGTTTTGATAAATTAAAATGAACTATGCAACCTTGTAAAGAAAGAATCAAACAGAAAGAACAGTTCGTTATTTTACTGCTGAATTAGTCTTCACGGCAGTGAGTGGACTGGCAGGGCGTCCGGCGGTCCGTACGGCCAAGCCCTGCGTTTCCCACCCCAGGTGTGTGCATGCCCGGCTCACTGCGCTCCCCGAACGAGTAGTAGTGAAGACACCGCTCTGTTTCTCCGGTTCACTGGATGGCTGCAACACGCCATCTCCTTTCACCCGCAGCCCTACCAACCAGCCTCGGGCAGCAGTAAGAAAAGAGAGCTTATACTTAGTATCTTCTCGGTTTTGGGTTTTCCTTAATCCCTGGTGGCACTTTCTTGTTCTGTTACTCCCCTGACCGTACCTGGCACGGTGGTGCCCTTGGAGAACTGATCTCAGCTCCGGACTTTCCTTCCAGCTGTTTTAGGCAGAAACCTAGACCTCCTAACTGGGTTTTTCGTCCCATTTAGAGAGTGTTTGGCAGACACCATCCTGAGTGGATCCCTGCTTTCGTTGGACCTGGTTAGATGGCACTCTGCTAAAATCACCATCTTCTGATTTTCTCGTCACTAGCCCAGCTCGGGGAAACCGAGCACCGACAACCCGGTGTTGTTTTGTCCTATTACTTTGTACTCACGCAACAGTGCCCTGAAGTACTTAAAATGCTCAAACTACTTATCAACTTTGTTCAGACTCCTACTCAGACTCCCACTCACCAGCAATACGATTCTCTTAAGCTACTTTGATCTCAAAGGAGCTCGAGCAACTTAAAATGCCATTTGCAGACTGCGCGTTCTGGGTACTTACAGGGCTGTGAGCTTTAGTAACTTCAAGTAATTACAATGCTCTATTACTTTATCAATTATATTCACGCGCTCACCCAGTAAATAAGCCTGATTCTCTTAAACTGCTTTGATCTTGAATGCTCCTGAGCCCCGTACAGTACTGTTTGCAGACTACGTGTCACGTATTTAAGGAGTCATACGAGTTCTCGAAGGACACCAGAGTTAAAGTGAGGTCGTGGGGTATTTGTTTCATCACATACGGCCTGTTTTTAATGATGCCTAAAAAATAAGCTTCAAAAGTTGTTGCTTCCTCTTGCTCCTGTTTATCTTTTTTAATGCAGAACTTCCCAGCCCAATGAATCATGTAAATCTTTCTCCCTGGTTTGGTCACTTCATCTCTCCAGTAATTTTGATTGATAAAAGTTTGTTAGGAAGGAAAAAATGCAGTGGAAGAAATTACTGACTCCTGCCAGAAGAAAAAGCAAGCATTTTCCTTCATGGAAAACTGCGTGTTTGTACAGAGAAAATAAAGATTGAAACTGCTTGAAACACACATTTGGGGCTTTATATCATGCAATAAAACAATCATGTGGAAATGAGAAGCTACATAAATAACCGGTTCAGAAAAGTCCCAGCGTATACACGCATTCGGAGGGGAGAGTGAGCGCAGCTTGCTGTAAATAAAAAGCCAGACTATCAGCTTCCCAATCAGGTAGGGACCTTTAGAGATTAAAACATGGAGATGGAGCCCGCTCGTCATTCTAATCATGTCACTTGTTTACTACAAAAGCAGAAATGATGCTACCTGCTCTTGAAGTAAGATCTGATTGTGAGCAAAGCACAGAAAACGGGCAGCTAAATATAATTGCAGCAGCTGTTCGTGATCCCAAGCGCTCCAGCTATTCAGCGCCTGAGCTGAGTGGTGGTGACAGTTTTCTTTTATTGCTGTTTTTCCCTACCGATGTCAATTGAGTGAGAAGATGGAGCTGCTGGTGGTACATACAAAATGAAGAAAGCAATCTTTAAAACTCAAAACGGTGAAAATAAAAGCGATTGTGACGTAAGGGGGAAAATACAACTTTGTCTGGCGGGAGACTATGTGAGACGTCAACAAAACTCATCCCGGAGAGTACCGTCGAGGGTTTAATTTCTGTAATCACGAGCAGTTGGAGTTCTGGTGCATGTTGGCCAGGGAAACTAGAAAGTCAGATGTTTAAGGTACGTGATACGAGGGGTCAGTAGCTGACTGTAGCAGAGTGCCACGTGTAGGGGAGCACTTCCACGGCAAGGGAGGAGACCTTTTCCATCCAGGAAACCTTTCCCGTTTCTCTTGGAAGGGCCATTTTCCAAGTGTTCGCAGAGTGCTCACCCCCAGCTACCTCCCATTGCCCCAGAGATGTCTTCCAAAGCGGCTGGAATTCAGCTGCATCCATTTTCCGGAATAAAACAGAATTACACTAAAATGGCTTGGGCTTCTGGTATGATTTTGCATGTTAATTTGGCCTTTCTAGCAGCATGCAGTGTTAATAACGTGCAGCTCCGATGGACTTGACATCCTAATGCCTCTTTTTGTAAATCTTTCCCTTTAGGAAATCAGGATATCAGAGCTACCGAATAAAATGAGTCCGTCTAAAAATAGTCAAATGTTGACAAGATTTTTAGTGAAGTTTGACTAAGGAAGCTTTATAAAATGAAAGCAGGCCAGAAGTGACAGATGGGTACAAATCCTCTCATAATCTTTAAATCCCTTAGTTTAAAAAGTGGCATTCTTGACTAGCTAAGGCTGGGTTAATTTTGCGCAAGAATATTTTTTCTCGCTGAAGCTTTCTTGGATGTTAATCCTATTCCTTCGATTTATAGTATCTCTAAACATCTGGGTTGGTCGGTGACTGCTCCGTCTAAATACAAGTTCGGGATATTTAAAGGCCTTTTGGCATTGAACTCTGGTGTGGCAGGTCGCTGAAGCCTGCTAGGAGATTCTGGTGGTGTTTTTCTCCTGTAATCAATAGGTTTTTCTTTAATGGATGGCCCCTCTCCCCCAGAGCCCTGTAGAAATTGAGTTTCATTATTGCGCGACAAAAAAAAAAAAAGATGAATTTCATTTTTCCCTGCCGTGAAGCCGTCATGAAAGATATTGATATTTAGGCACAGCATCAGAGCCACATGTCAGCCCCAAACATGTTTTCGTAGCTAATATTTGCCGGGGTGCCCCGTGTCTCCTGGAGCCGCCTGCGAGGAGGGCGGGTGGCTGCTCCTCCGTCTGTCCTCCCAAGGGGGACCAAAAGCTGGACCCTGCAGGTGCAGTTTGCGTTAGATTTCATTTAAAAACCTTTAGATTCGGTTGATGTGCACCACTGCTTGAGACGCTCGCTCTCAGTACTGTAATCTTCCTTAAAGTGAGGTTTTTATGCTAGCAGTCCACGTTCCAAATTGCCTGAATACTCTGATTTTAGCAACAGAGTGTATTTTCTGCTGAGATAAAATGTGGCCGTTAGCGCTACAACATATTGCACTTCGCCTCTGGGTGAGATGGGGGTTTGTACTCCGCCTTCCCCAACCGTGCCCAGGTGCTGCGCTCGCCCCGAACGTCGCATGGTGAAGCATCGTGAAAGCAGGTGAAGCGTCATCCTCCAGTCCTCGCTCCTGGCACGATTTGGTATGTAATTAATGTGCCCTGGTGGCCAAGAAGGCCAATGGCATCCTGGGGGGCATCAAGCAGAGTGTGGCCAGCAGGTCAAGGGAGGTCATCCTCCCCCTCTGCTCTGCCCCGGGGAGGCCACATCTGGAGCACTGTGTCCAGTTTGGGGCTCCCCGGGTCAAGAAGGACAGGGATCTGCTGGAGACGGTCCAGCAAAGGGCTACGGAGATGCTGAGGGGACTGGAGCACCTTTCTGATGAGGAACAGCTGAGGGAGTTTGGTCTTTTTAGTCTAGAGATAAGAAGACTGAGAAGGGATCTTCTCAATGCTCATAAATTCTCAAAGGGAGGTGCCAGGGGGATGGGAACAGTCTTTTGTCAGTGGTGCCCAGTGACAGGACAAGAGGGAACAGGTCCAAACGTGACCATTGGAAGCTCTATCTCAACCTGAGGAGGACCTTCTCTGCTGTGAGGGCGGCAGAGCAGTGGCACAGGCTGCCCAGAGAGGTGGGGGAGTCTCCCCCTCTGGAGCCATCCCAAACCCGCCTGGACGCCGTCCTGTGCCACTGCTGGAGGTGCCCCTGCTCTGGCGGGGGGTGGCACTGGGGGAGCTCCAGAGGGCCCTTCCAACCCTGACTGTTCTGCAATTCTAGGGTTCTGTGAATGGATAAGGAATTAAATCAACTCCTCGTATTCAGCCTGTATTTCTGTGCCTTGCGGAAGGCTGGGTCTGGTTTCTCTAGTAGCTGCAGCTGTGAAGACCATCTCCGAGCGTAAATCCGAGGCTCAGACCTTCATTCCAACTGCAGGACCGCAACCCGGCATAGA